CACCGTCTGTGTACTCACAGAATTACGTAAACGTGTCAAGAATTTCGCGGCTATACGAAACTGCATCGATGTCGCGTAGAGCAACCGATATTGATCCACATCGAATTGGCTTTTCTCCTTAACCTGACTTTATTCTTTATCTTTTAAGTCCCTTTTCTTTTCGATGCTTTTGCGACAAAATTTCTTTATTTTTTCAAAAGAATTTGCAGCTTAGGCAGCCTTATGTTGGGTGCTTTATTTTTTGAGATACATTTTCCCTTTCTTATTACTGTCTGCAGGATGAATCAGCATTTATATGGTACAGTAAACAATATACTATAGTATGAATAAAAACAAACCTTAGTAAATATAGGTCGAAAACTCAACCGTTTCTAAGACATAAACAATTTTGTATAATTGATTTATTGCTTTTCCACGCACATGCGACGTAAAAAGAGAAATTGAGATAAGTAACACTGATAGCTTATTTGAGAGAATTACAGGTCTAATGATGTAATCTCCCATAATGTTCATTCAACTATAATGGCTGATTGACGTCAACATACTGATTCCCAGTGAAATTTTTCATTAGGAAGTGTGCATGGAAATTGAATCAGAACATCCAGAACGCGGTTTGTAAACACTAAGGTAAATCTTCATGTCGTATACGATACGTAGAAGTCAGTTTTGATACTAACGTATAAAATTGTTGTTTATGTCTTAGAAGCGGTTGAGTTTTCTCGATCCATATTCACTAACACTTTTTTATTCGGTACACTGAAAAAAAATATAGTCAATTTTAATAAATATTTAGTTGAATACTGCCAACTAAATATTTATTAAATATAAAGATATATTTATTTGATACAAGAAATGTTAATTTGATTTAACAATAATTTTTTTTACTGGACAAATATTTATTTACTGTAAGTAAATGCTTAGTTGGCAGTATTGAACTAAATATTTATTAAAATTAACTAAATTTTTTTCTCAGTGTACTATCTATCATATAAATGCGAAATGATTTTTTTTTTTTTTAACATCTTGTATATTAACACATTTCTTTTGTTAATTGCACTAAAGACGTTTCTCTTATTTTCAATAAAGTTATCGTTGTTATTACTATTTTTTACGTATCCGATCAAAACGTTCATAGGAATAATAATTTTAGCTTTTAATAAATCCTAAGCAATTAAGTATCGTTTGATCTCGAAGGAGTTTCCGCAGAATTTTAATTTGTGCGTTACAAAAGTATCTCAAGATTGTTTCTCTTTTATACAAAATACAAAAGAAGATACTGCGAGAACGAGAAGTATTCTCACACGTTTGGTTGCACCGTAGGATCCTCGGCTCTCGAGCTTCCTTTCTAGAATGACGAAGACGAATGCTGAGCCGCGCGCAGGATATCGGGAGCTCAGGCTCCGGCCGACCGGACCAAACCTTCCGCTCGTCTCGTCCATTTTTCTCTATCCCCGACCTTTTTTCCTTCGGCAAGTGGTAGCCGGTTAAGTGCCCGGGAGAACGATGAGCAAGTTCCTCTCTGATAACGACCGGAGAAGCGACCCGGCTCATCCGTCCTACCTCGCCGCGATCCTTTTCCAAGAATAATCTTACCTTCCATTTCTCCGTGTCGCCTTCATCCCGTCTCGATAGAGCGCGAATATAGTCCCACAGGAATTATTGGCCAGCATGACCGTAACGTACAGAGGGACTTTCGATTTTTCTCATTTTTAAGACCGATTTAAATCTTTGCGGTGTTAGCTGTTGTAATAATAAACACCTTTCCGATATACTTTAAATATAAATATAAAGCAGTTTCTCTTACAGTTCTTCAAAATTCGAAAGAAAAATAATAAAAGTGTATCGCACTGAATAAAGTGTAAAAGTTGTTTCGGAGATATTTGTCCGCAGAAATGTAACTAGAATAAAGCGGGGTAATTTGAAGGTTAACAGAAATTTTCAAATTGTATAAAAGATGGAGGTATTCAATCAAACATATCAAACGTATATACTGAAAAAAATTTTGGTCTTTTTTGGTCCAATGAATGATCATCGATCAATGTCCGACTTAATGTAGTTCATTGATACAATAACTGGATTTATTTATATAACTATATATGCATTCTGGCAATGAATTCTAGCAATAGTTTTACAACCTAAAAATTCTCCAAAAAATAATGAATATTTTATTGTATTTACGTACAGTTTTGGTTCAGTGTACTATTGCAACAATAAGATATATTTTGTATGTTTGATTGAATACACTACGCGACCTCAAATCTTTCGAATCTTACGATTTGACAATTTCTGTTAACTTGTCTAAATTAGCCCGCTTTGTCCTAGATTTAGAAATCTAAGATTAAGATACGCACGTAAAAATTCGAACGAAGAGTGAAGAAATATGAAGACGAAAACTTGTATTAGAACTTCCTCCCCTGAGGACATTGTCAGTCAGCAATCGCCTACCAGCAGGTCGGTCGCTCTTCGTGGACCAACAAATAAAAGCGGAAGAGGAAAGAATAGATTCGTAAGAAAGGGCTGGACGGCGCGCAAGCGAGGGAAGAATGGTCGAATCCTTTAATCCAGAATATGAAGACGAAGACGAAAGATGTGGGACGGGGATGAAGATGCAACCGGGGATGATTCGAACGGAAAGATTAAGACAGGACTATGGTTACAGTATTCTCGCCCGGAGAGAGGCTGTTAGTCTCGTGGAAACAAACGAAGGATCATCAAACTTGAAGAGTAGAAGGAGCGGAAGTGAAGAAAAGGGAAGGAAGCGAAAAAGTAGGCGGGAAAGGATAAGATAAGAAAGCTCGGGAGGAGATGAATAATCAATACGGTCGCCAAGTCGTTAATTCCAATTGCCAACCATCACGCCTCCGTGCAGCGTTAAGCACAGGACGAGAATTTCACCCCCGACTGCCTGAAGGGCATTCTTTTTTCTCGGATCCCCTGTCGGTGAGCGAAGCAGCGATTTTTTTTTTTTTTCCTTTCGGTCTCAGCGCGCAGATCGGCGAAGGAAACGAAAGGAAAAGAAAAAAACTGAGGAGACGATCGAAAGCGGGCATCCCTTCCACGATAATTATTTTCCGACGAGGCTTGGCGTCGCCTTAACAACGATCCGGTGAACGTCGGAAAATATCGGGATCAAAAGTGCACCACGTGAACGGAGAACTAAGATGCTACTCGTTTATTATTAGAAACTCGATATCCTACTGATATTGTTTATGATACTTAACCCTCGATCGATAATGTGAAATTCTTACCCTTCGTCTCTGCAACCTGGGTCTTTGAACTTTAGTGCAGATTTTTATATACAGACGGTATACACTGTAAAAAATAAAATGTTAACTTTAACTTGAAGACATATAGTGGACTTTCTGAGACATGCAAAAATGTTAAAATTATTTAACATTTTTGTGTCCACTATATGTTTTTAAATTAAAATTAACATTTTATTTTTTACAGTGTAAAAATCTAAAACGATTCTTACTTGTGAAACCTTTAACCCTTTGTAGATAGGTGACCCCGTTTTGATTATCTTCTTTTATTTTGTAAATTACTCACTTGATTTTCATGAAATTTGGCCTGGTGAGGTAATTTGATAATGCTGTATTCGAGTCGAGGTCAAAAATAAAAAATTCAAAACGATCGATCCAATATGGCGGACCGAATTTTAAAAAATCTGATTGTCATGAAACTCAAGGGTCGTTTTTAATTGCGAAGTAATATAAAGTTTCCAGTTTCGATTTATTTAAAGCTCATCAGTGTTACACGCACAAACAGTTGGAACTGATTTCCAATCTCTAATTATGACTGTGACAGTATATGATTCTCACTTCATTGAAGGTTAGTTACTCTTTTGAAATGTGACATTTTCAGGCTACATTCAAACTCAGCAATACCGAGATTCTTAAAACCGAGTTTTATTGTAATTAGTTATTATTTTTTGGAAATTTGAATTTCGATATTCCGAGAGGCCAAAATTGAATTCAGTAACTTCGAAAACTCTTAAAAAACAAGGTCTTCATTAGGTTTCTTTGTTAGAAAGCTTCTGTCCTCGAAGAATTAATAAGTTTTTATTATCAATGAATTTTATTATCAAGATTAATCACGAGTTTTTATTATCAAAGAAGTTGCATTATATTTTACTTATTTTTTACAAGTTTAAATTCATATACTAGATAAATTTACAATAAAAAAATCGACTATACTTTTAAAGGTCCAACATTACTAGCGGAAGGATTAAGTTTAAAAACATAAGAAACTGCGAGTGTTAACAAAAATATATGCGCATTATTTAAAAAAATCATATTTACAATTAGAAATTTTATTTGTTCTCAATACGCGAAGAAATAAATATGCCGGTCAATATTTTTATTAAAATATATAATGAGCGGGACGTCGGACTTAATCTGCATAAATTCTGGAATCCGAACCAATTACTTAATTTTTTCCGAGCGGCACACAAGCGCTCGCGCTCTTATTGCACAACTTAGCCCCGAAAACACCAGAGCAACGCGGCTTCGCGCCGCGCGCGAGTGTCCGGCGGAATAAGAACGGAACGAAACAAAACGAAAAGGAAAAGGGGGGAGTTGCGGGGAAAAAAAAAGGAAAAAGCATAAAAGTACGTCGCCGGCGGTGGTCGTGCTCGCGAATATCCGGCGTGAGACTCGAATAGCTGCGCTCTTCCCGCACGAGCGTTTCCTCCCCTTCCTGCCTTCACCCGCTCCATATCCACGAGAACGCGCGCACGTCCGTGCGCACGTGACTATATACGTGCTCGCATGTATCCGCTATGTATACATACGTGCTTGGCGCGAGAGGCGAGAGGACTCGATCCCTCCGGGGAGTTACATGAGAAAGAACGGACGACATGCGGATGGAGAGAGAGAGAGAGAGGGGGGAGGGAGGGAGGGAGAGAGAGAAGTACAGAAGTGCGACGAGGAGTATACGAAGTAGGGAAGAAGAAGGTAGAGAGAACGACGTGACACAGCTCGAGGGTTGAGGAAGAGGGTATGAGGGTGGGGAGGGGGGGGGAGGGGGATACTCCGGAGGAAGAGGGACACTGGGACGCTCGTAACGAGTCTCTCCAGGTCCCTCGTCGCAATGGGGCTCTCGGACGACCGGATCGCCATGGGACGAAGGCTCGCCGTGTGCCAGCGAGGGTAAGGGGTGTGAGGATCGGTCAGCAGGATGGAGAGAGGTAGTGACTGACCAGGATGCGAGAGAGAGCGAGAGAAGGATCCGGGCGGATACGATCGGCGAACCGCGCGGCGCGTGATAAATAACCGAGCGGCGGCTCCCGCTCTGTTCCCGTCTCTCGCTTTCGCCCCCTTCCTCTTTCTTCGCTTCGTGTCTACCGCTCTGTCTCCCTCCACCTCCTCCCACTCCTCCTCTCCGATGGCTCCGCGGGTACGAGCATCGCTTGAGACCGCTTACAGGTCGCGCCAAAAGACGCTTGGCTGCTCTTTGACGCTTGACCGACGCCGACTTCCGCGAGCGAGGAGAATCGACGACGACTATACTATACAATGCCTTTGGAGATGAAGAGAGAAAAGGGAGGGGGGGGGGAGGGGACTATTATTTTTGAGAGAAATATAGGTTTCCTTTTTTTTTTTAATTCGCTTCGCCGTGAGCGCTTTTTCGGACTGACGATGATAGCCATTATAGTCGGGTAATTTGACGAATTTGGTACCTCACCACCGTTTCCGTTGGTTATTTTTATAGCGGCACGATAGAATAAATGTTTTCGATTTTGAATCGCTAAAATTGGTCGTCTATTCGCACGGAGTCATTGAACGTTGCGTAAAAAAAAAAACGTCCAGTATTTATCTTTTTGTAGCGAATCGCTAAACGTAACCCCACGTTACCAATTTACATTAAAAAAATATTGTAAACATTAAAATATATATGACCACGTCATAATTTGTAATAAAATATAGAAACCTTTATAATATCTTTACGAATATAGAGAGTAATTACGGAATCATTAAACGTTATAAAAAAAGTCCAATATTCATCTTTTTATATAAAAGTTAAAATTTTGTAGCACAAAGTGCCAAAAGTGACTCCCACATTGCTCATTTACATAAAAAAATATCGTAAACGTTAAAATATATAAAACTCATCGCAATTCGAAATAAGCTACAGAAATCTTCGCAGGGTCTAAAAATGTAGAGGACACCTGTACCTTTGCGTCCCCACTTAAGTGTCTACATACCAACCGTTCACAAAGTATCTCCGAAAATTCCAACTTTCCGAAACTATATCGCGATAAATAATAAATCCCAGGCAAAAGCCTATGCGTTGCCGGTAACAAAAGCCTCGCGTCGTTTCATTACCATCGAATTACGCACGGCGGATATTAATTGACGTTGGATCTTCCATATCTCGCCGGTATCCCGGCGGCTCGATCCCGGCTTCGATTTCCGATCGGTGGAACATACGGACGGAAAAGGCCGGGGCTCTCTCGGCTTGCTCAGCGGTCTCGTCGTCTTTTTGCTAACGGCTGTACCACGGTGCCGTCGCGGCGCGGAATATCCCGGCTGCGCGCGGTATGGCGTGGCGCGGCGCGGCGCGGCGCGACGCGGCGTGGCGCGCAGCGCGACGCGGTTCGGCGTGGCTCGGCGCGGCGCGGCGCGGCGTGGCTCACGGCACCGTTTATCGCGCGGGCTTGAACTCTTGGAGCGGCGTTCGGCTGGCGCGACGCGGCACGTATCTACCATCGAGCACGGCAGGAACGAGGCTATTACGCGAGCGCGCATACATATCTACCCCGTAGCGAGGAAACGAGGCGATTCCGTGCTGGCGAGAGCGGGTGAGAGAGAAAGAGAGAGCGAACGAGAGAGAGGGAGAGAGGCAGGGTGGTAAAGGGAGATAGCGAGAGATGGCGTTAAAGCACGAGGGAGTGAGAAATAGGCAAGGGAGAAAAAGCGAGGCAACACGGGGTGTTGACTCCACCTCTGGACGATTTCGAGCGGTTCGTGCTTCCAGGATCAGCGGAAAGCTTCGCTAACGCGGCGGGATAAAGGCGAGAGCTCCTGGCGAGAGCGGCCGCCTGCTGAAACGTACGAAAAACAGGCGGTATCCATCATTCCAGCCAGCCAGCCAGCCAGCCAGCCTGCCTGGGCGACGGCCACTTCGACGACGACGACGGCGACGACGACGACGACGACGACGACGGCGACGATGTCAAGAAAGAAGAGGAGAGAGGAGGAGAACCTAAAGGAGGAAAAAGCGATGGCGGTACCGAGATGAGCGCGAAGGCGTGGCGGAAATCACGTCGACGGCTTCATACGACAGGCGTCTTCGAGAGAAAGAGAGACGTTAACCCGCCGTTAAAGGCCATCGTCCCGTTTTTAAGTCCGGAATCCAACTTAAAGTGCGGCTGCGGAGTAAAGACTTTCTGATAGGAATACAAGCTTGATCTTTCTTGTTGGAAGAATTTCGATTTGTTATTCTACATAGTATTACATATCAACGCGTACATAGCAAAGCGATAAGAAAATAAGACGAGAAACATGAAGAACAATGATTTTAATTATTGCAAGTCAACTGAGTTTCGATGTCCCGAATCACATTGCGATTTAATATCAAAATTATTTTCCAAATGTTCGGACTATCGTAGTTAATACTTGAAATTATTTTTCAAACAAGGAAAACAACGTGAAAAGAATGAATCTTCCGAGTTATTTTAGTACGCTGACCAATTAACTGTATTCCCTTCTACCTCCTCGAGACGCGGAGGATCGCTAACCGCAGTTAGTGAACTCGGTAACCGACCCTAAAATTATCCCCGTAATTACGCGAAACTTAGCGATGGTCGTCGTCATCGCCGTGCGTGAGCCGGAGAGAGGCGAGCGTTCTCGCCGGCATAATCAAAGGTAACCCGTCGGGAAACTTTCATGGACTCCATGACGATCTGCGACGTAAAGGCAGGCGCTGCCAGAGGAGCTTCGGGATCAAATCGAAACTTCTCCGGACTTGGCGAAACGTTGGATCGTCCCGTCCGTTCATCCATCTATCCATCCGTCGTCGTCCGACCCCGTTCTAAACGGAACAGAACTCGACTAACGTATTCCACCGTCCGCCCACGTGACGCCACTGAATCCCGGTTGTCGCGCACGTGGGTAACGCCGTTTAGAGTGGCGTGGCACGAGTAATCGAGTTTCGGGGGCTCGCGCGCCGCGAT